GTTTGATCCTGACCAGCTCAATGTTGACTCAGCCTTCCATCCTTCCAAGGTCAGTAAAATGAGAACCCAGATTGTTGGGGGAAATATGCTGACTTCATACACTGCTTAGAGTGGGCTGTAATGCATTATGAAGTGGTATATGTGCTATTGTTACTGTTATAGTTAATGGACGGACGGATGGATGTGTGGTTGATGGATAGATAGAGGGGGAGGGAGAGGGGGAGAGGGAGAAGGAGGGAGAGAGAGAGTGTGTGCATGGAAGAGCTGTGGTTTCACCGAGTTAGCATTTCAGGCTAACTCGGCCCACTGCCAGGAGTTCGATCCTGACTCAGCCTTCCATTTTTCCAAGGCCGGTCAAACAAGGACCCAGATTGTTGGGGACAAATATGCTAACTCTGTAATCCGCCCAGAGACAGCTGTAAAGCACCGTGGAGCTATATATAAGTCTTAAGGGCTATTACAATTCTAGCCAACGTTCTCCTTTTCTGCTCTTTCCGTGTTCGTCATACTCGCGTCTTTCCTCCACAGCCTTGGAGAAGAGCTCCTCCCTGCTCTCCGACATGATGCAGGCGGACGGCCCCCGAGCTTGCAAGTTTGGGCGGCAGTGGTACATGCACAACGAGAGGTGGCACCCTACGGTGCCCCCTTTTGGGGAAATGAAGTGCATCACCTGCTGGTGCCTGGTGAGTACGGCAGGAGGAGGTGGAACTTCTACGGGGATGTCTCTCTCTTAGGAGATGGCCGGTATCCCAGTGGGTGGAAGAAAAACACAAGTAGTCCTTGACTTACAACAGTTTGTTTAGTGACCGAAGTTACAATGGCACTGAAAAAAGCAACTGTCAACTCCCTAAAACATTCCTATGCCTGTTTTAGTAGTTGCCATAAAAGGGGGGGGAGGGGAGGAAGGAAATCTGGAAGAGCAGTTGAAAGCGAAAGTACATTCCAACTCTTTATCTTTAAAAGATTGTAACTAAAATACCAGAGCTTTTGCCCATGAATATATTTAATTGGAGAACATGATTAATGACACCCAGCCCATGAACGTGCTCAATTGGAGAATCTGGTTTATGAGACACCCAGGGGGAAACAGGGTCAGAGGGGACTGTAAATGACCTATGCCAGAGTTGGCTCCATACAGGGCAGTGCCAGTATGATGCCTCTAATAAATCCTTTGAAGTTTTTTGAAGTTTGGCTCAAGAATCATGATTTAATACGAGTGATTGCTGGAATCCTGGCAGCGACCTATGGCTGTTTTTCCACACCTATGACCATTACAGCATCCCCAGGGTCATGTGGCCAAATTCAGATGCTTGACAACTGACTCATAATTATGATGGTTGTAGGATGCAAGAGTCATGCGATGATCCCCTTTTGCGACCTCCTGACAAGCCAAATCAACGAGGAAGCCAGATTCACTTAACAACCGGGTTATTAACTGAACAACTGCAGGGATTCACTTAACAATTCTGGCAAGAAAGGTTGTAAAACGGGGCACAATTCACTTAACAACCATCTCGCTCAGCAGCATGAATTCTGGGGGGGAATCAGTTGTGAGTCCTAAAGTTGAGGACTACCTGTAATCTGCCTGTATGGTCTGAAAGCCGTTGCCGCACAATTGTTGTCTTGAAGTTCTTGTTTTGGGGATTTGGGGTTCTTGTATAATCCTAGCTCTCTTCCAGCAAATTTATGTTGTTGTTGGTTTTTCAAAATTTCAGTCTGGAGAAACACATTGTGAGCGCCAAGAATGTTCTCCAACCACTTGCTCCAAGGAAGGGAAAAAGGGAGACTCCTGTTGCACCCAGTGCCAAGGTGAGGGTGGTCCAGTGGTGGGATTCAAAAATGTTTATTACGGGTCCTGTGGGCGTGGCTTGGTGGGCGTGGCAGGGGAAGGATACTGCAAAATCTCCATTCCCTCCCCACCCCACTAACCTGCTTTCCAGCTCCGTTCTCCTGTGCGGGGCTGTTCTGACCAAGGCTTTCCGAGACCGTAGTTAAGCACACACTTCGTTAAAACAACTCTTGTTTTATTGCAACGCTGGGAATTATTTTCATTCCTGGCCGGTAATGAGTCCGAAACAGTCCCTTCGAGATAAGCACCGACCTCTCTTTCCTTTGAATTGCTGCCAATAACAAAAGTGCCAAATTAACTGTAAAAAAACCAACCGAAGTACAAAGTCCACACTTAAACCTTCAAGGTTTAATCCGAATAGAGCAAACAAAGTTGCTTCCTGCAAAGGTTTCATCTCCTTTGCCTGCCCTTTATCCCTTATGGGAGGAGCAATCACCTCCAAGCCTTACTCCCGAGTTGCCCTTTATCTCAGCTGCTCTTGCCTTCTAGCAGCTCTGTGCACACCTGCACTGGGAACAGGCTCCCTCTGTTCCTCAGCCTCGCTGCTGCCAGACTCCGGAGGCTCTGGAGTCAGCACCCCACTCCCAGATGGCCCTGGCCCCATCTCTGCATCGGACGCGGGACCCTCATCTGAGTCCTCTCCAGACTCCCAGACTGGTCCCCATTCTTCCCCTCTGTCCGATTCCGCTGCAGTCTGCACAGGCTGCCAGCGAACCACAACAAGGGCAACCAAAGAAGACCCAGCCAATCAGCTGGGACTTGGGAGGCAGAGAATAGATGGGGGCGGGGCCAGTCAGAGGTGGGATTTGCCGGTTCTCCGAACTACTCAAAATTTCCACTACTGGTTCTCCAAAACTGGTCAGAACCGGCTGAATACCACCTCTGGTTGGACTCTTTGCACAAGGTTGTGGCCCAACTCCTGGTGGAAACACAATACAGGTAGTTTTCGATGGACAATAGTGTTAAGCCTGGATTCCCCAACAGGTGTTAAGGAAAACAAACTAAACAGAACGTGCAGCGAAGTCAGATAGGAAGACAGGTAAATGTGTGAGATAAGCCTTCTCGTTAACACGCAGTAAAAATACAGATACGCTTGTGCTATCAAAAATATAGTTTATTCCATTTAAGAATTATAGCATAGTCAAATAAACAGTCCATTAGTCATATACCAAATTCAGTCAAGTCTTGTCGAGGATACTCTAATTGCAAAGTCCGTGTCGAATAGCCAGTGTCAGTACACATATAATAAATCTGTCCAAAACTTATCTTCTCTCCGTTGAGAAATATCTTCAAAGTAATCCAACACTTCTTCTCTTCCCCAATCCAGCAAGAATGCAGTCTTCAATAAGCCAGCCAGTAAGAGCCAGAGAGTGCCTTGCTGCTTATATAGTACTTTTACAGCTGCACCCTTAATTACATTCCTTTAGCTTAAAGTCACATACACTTTATCTGACAAACCATGATTCATCATTTTATTATCTTTACCCAAAACAGTTAGGGTAAAACAATGTTATCCCTAACAAACAGTATGCTCAATGACCGTTCGAAGTTTAGCACACAAAAGAACCAGTGCATCATATACACTCACAGCAAATTTCCACTTCATGACATCCAGTGAACTACAAATCCCATCGTCTTCAAACAGAAATACTGGGAACCGCTGCCCAAATCATTTGGAGTCAACAACAACGCTATGAAAAGTGCCATACAGGCAGTTCTCAATCTATAACGTTCATTCAGTGACCACTTGAAGTTACAGTGGCACTGAAAAAAAGAGACTTATGGCCATTTTTCACACTTACAACTGTTCACAAGATTCAAAATTCACATGCTTGGCAGCTGACACATTTATGACGGTTGCAGCATCCTGGAGAGGGGGTGTCATGTGATCCGCCTTTTGTGACCTTCTGACAAGCCAAGTCCATGGGGAAGCCGGATTCACTTCACAATTGGGTTACTCACTTAACAACTGCAGCAATTCACTTAACCATGGCAAGAAAAAGTCGTGAAACGGGGCCAAACTCGCTTCGCAACTGTCTCACTCAGCGACAGAAATTTGGGGCTCAAATCGTGCTCCGTGAGTCGAGGACGACTTATATTTTTGGAAGTCTTCTGTTAACATTTTATAACTATTTTAATTGAACGGCAGCATCAGCGTTACTATAGAACCCTGATGGCAAACCTATGGTGGCACGCAGAGCCATTTGTGCCGGCACACGAGCTGCAGGCAAACTTGCCTCACTTCGCATGTGCACGCCTCACAACTGATTTCGGCTGGTTTGAGGCCTTTTTCGGGCTCCCAAAGGCTTGAGGAAGGCTCCTGCAGGCTTTGCAGGCCGAAAACTAACCCCGTTTCATCACTTCCGGTATTTTCGGAAAAACAGGAAGTGACAAAACAGGGCTAGTTTTCAGCCTGCAAAGCTTGCAGAAGCCTGCAGAAGCCTTCCTCAATCCTTTGGGAGGTTGAAAGAGGCTTCAAACCGGCCGGAAATCAGCTGTGAGGCACAGTGCAGGTAAGGCAGCGGGAGGTAGGCAGGTGGGCGGGGGATTGCACATGCATGCGTAGGGGGCGTGTGCATTGCCTTCTGGGTGCTGGCACGCGAGCGTGAGCATGGAAGCGCACACACAATTTTTGACACAGGAGCCCAAAAAAAATTAGCCACCATTGCTATAGAGTTTTGGGTGGCCTTATACATTCCATTAAAAACTTGAGGAGGCCAGTCAGTCCAATTAAAAGAACAGCAACAAGATAAATCCCCTTTTTGTCCTGCTTCAGTCTGATCAAACCTGCCCGTCTAATTCATTTTTTTTTCCCCCACTGGCCTTTTCTGTTCCCTCTTTGTGTCCTGCAGCATCAGAGATCCTTCGAGAAGAAGCTCAAGGGACCTTTGAAGGGGTGACCAAGCACTCCTGGAGACATTAACCAGCCAAAACCAAGAAGCACGGATGCCCCCAAAAGATATTTTAGAGTTGCTAAGGCAGGCAGGCAGTCTGGAGCGAGATCTTTCTGGGAACCTTCTTAAAGACACCCAAGTTTTGACAGTGGTCTCCAAGCCACAGGAAGACTTTCAGATCTTCTCCTTGCAGAAGAAGCATCCATCCATTCTCCTGAGCAGCTCTCCTTTCTCCTCTACCTATGGCGTGGGCTTACACCTTTTTTGCACCTGCTTCTCTAAGGGGGAAAAAAAGGCATTTATGGGTTCCTTGAGGAACTGGGAATTGATATTACATGTCTAGGATATGCAGTAAAACTCTAGAATGGAACCAGGATTCTACCCAAATTGTGGGCGCCTCTTCCATGTCCCCTTGAACTTAACACGCTGATGCCTTCATCTTAATTTCACAACCTCTCGGGATACGTGACCTCTTCAAAAGGAACCATATTGCTTCAGTCGTACCAAACACGATCCAAAGGAAGGGAAGCACCTCTTTCCCCAAAGTAATATATATATGTATGTACTGTATGTATGTATGTCAGGAATGCGTGTATTGGGGGAGGAGGAGGAGGGTGGGTGCTTCCTCTTTGTTTCCTTTTGTTGTATAATTTATGTTGTCCGCGGCTTCTTCTATCCCAGCTCAATTCAAAAAAACGGAAGGGTCGATGTTGAAGATGAAATATTTATTTTTTAAAAAGGAAGATCAGCCGAGTAAAATGCACCTGAGGTTGAGCAAACGCTTGTGGTAATTCCCTCTTTTTTTTCCTCCCCCCAAGGGTTTTTAATTCCAAGGGAATTTCCATGGTTGGATTAAAAGCAGATAACAGATCATCAGAGTTGGAAGGGACCTTGTAGGTCATTTAGTCCAACCCCCTGCCCAAGCGGGAGACCCTACATCATTTCTGACGAATGGCAGTCCAATCTCTTCTTGAAAGTCTCAACTGATGGCGCTCCCATAACTTCCGAGGGCAACTTCCTTCCATTGGTGGATTGTTTTCACTGTCGGAAAGTTTCTCCTTATTTCCAAGTTGAATCTCTCCTTGTTCAGTTTCCATCCATTGTTCCTTGTCTGGCCTACAGGTGCTTTAGAAAACAGCTTGACCCCTCCCTCCTCTCTGTGGCAGCCCCTCAAATATTGGAAGACTGCTATCATGTCTCCCCTGGTCCTTCTCTTCGCTAGACTAGCCAAGCCCAGTTCCTGTAACTGTTCTTCGTATGTTTTAGTCGCCAGTCGCCTATTCACCCTGGTTGCTCTTCTCTGCACTTTTTCTAGAGTCTCAACATCTTTTTTATAGTGTGGTGACTAAAACTGGATGCAGTACTCTAGGTGTGGTCTTCCTAAGGCTTCATAGAGTACTTTAGAAATTGCTTTATAAAGCAGTTTGTAATGGTAAGGGCAAATACAGGAGGAGGAGGAGGAAATTCCCGTTAGGAGAATGAGCACATACAGGGAGACTTATTTGAGAGTAGTGTTTGAATAATACACATATAGCACACAGATAAACTGTACATTAAATGTAGGTTTTTAGTTCCAGAAAGGTTTAAAGCAAAGTCCAAAATAGGCAGTCCAAAGTCATTCACAGTTAAATCAGTCAGTGTTCATTTTAGGGATAATTCCAATATCAAAGTCCAGAATCAAAAACAGTTCAGTAACAAACTTACATCAAATCCAGTAATATCAGTCAATTAGAAGAAATGGAGGAACGGCAATACTTTCCAACAGAAGGAAACAGAGACTTACTCACACTCTCTTCTGAGACTCAGACTAATACAAACCAGGTTTCTGGCTCCATCTTATGGCCGTTTGAGAAACCACACCTAATTATGGTTTTGCATTTTCTTAAGGATATAGTTTTTAAATGTTTATCCTGGTTTATATATTTCTAACCCAAGTACCTGTTAGGTGACTTATATTCCTAACAGAGGAGGAGAAGGAGGAGGAGAAACAAGGATTTAACGTGTCACTCTTGCAGTCTTGCAAACATCCTTGAAATTTCCTGGGAAATCATCAGCTATAATCTCACTTGCAGAAAACCACAGGATACCCCAGGTTTTTCTTGCAACTCAATGTGAGGTTCAAGCAATCGGAACCAGTCATGAAGGCAGGGAGTCCTTGACTTACAACTGTTCATTTAGTGACTGGCAGTGAAAGTCACCATGGCACTGGAAAAAGTGACTGATGACCGTTTTCCACATGGATGACCCCCAGGGGTGGGATTCTACCCGTTTGGACCGGTTCAAGTGAACCGTGTTCAGAGTTTTGCAGCGTTAATTCAGTGCCAGAAAAATAGACACGGATGGCTGACGCTTCATTTAACATCTTTATAAACATAGTAAGTAGATTTTTACAAACCAGTTGTAGATTTCTCCAACACGAAGCAAACTCAGACAGAAACATGTTGCAAGTTCAGAGCAGAGCTCCAGTCTTCAGCAGGCAAGCAAGAGGAGAGAAGCAGTTTCGTCTTCAATAGACAGACTCAGAGCTCAACATAGCTGCAGAGTTGCAGAGCTTAATATAGAGCCACGCCTAAGCTACTGCTAGTTTCAGTTTCCAGCCTAGGCTACAATCTAGTTTCAGTTTCCAAACTGTCTTCATTGGCTGATTTAGTTGCTACGCCTATTCATTGGCTGACCTTGTTACCAGGCTCTATTTCAATTCATGAATATACTCTGACAAACCAGATGTTAAATTTACATCTGGTTTACCAAATCGGGAGTTGAACTGACCGGCTGGCCCTATGTACCCCACTCCCGCCCCACCCAGGAGTCTCCCCACGGCCTGTTTTGGGTGCAGGGCCTGCGCGGAGGCTCTGGGAAGGCAAAAAAAACGGCTCTCCCGGAAGTTTCGCGAGGCCACGTCCATCCAGCAACCAGGCAGAGAACCAGTTGTTGGGATTTTGGAATCCCACCCCTGGATGACCCTCACAGCATCCCCGTGGTCACGTGATCAAAGTTCAGACGGTTGGCAACTGACTCGTATTTATGACATCTGCAGGGCCCCGAGGTCATGCAATCCCCTTTTGCGAACTTCTGACCAGCAAAGTTAAGGGAGAAGCCAAGATTCACTGAACAACCCCATTACTAACATAACTGCAGCGATTCACTTAATCAATTGTGGCAAGAAAGATGGTAAAATGGGTCAAAAATTCACTTAACTGTTTCCCTGGGTGATGGAAATTTTAGGTCGTAAGCTGAGGACCGCCTGCGGAAGCTTTATCGCTAGTCGCCTGTGTTGCAAGAATCTTGCCAGACTGACTGCATTTCCGCTGCAAAGGGTCGGATCAGACTTCAGAAATTCTGGGGGACGCCAGCCTGTGCCACTTACTGCAGCGCAAGGATTCTAAGCTTGTTCCCCTCTTGACACCCTCCAGCCTAGTTGGAGTTTCTACCATGCTCAATTGTAGCACACAGGCAGTCCTTGACTTACAGCAGTTAATTGAGTGCCTGTTCAAAGTTATAACGGCACTGTGATGACCTAAGGTCATCACAAAAACAGGGGAAGCCCCTTTTATTCCTTCACTTTGCTTCAAAGCTCCAGATATCCTTGACTGGAGACAAAAAAAAAAATCCCCAACAAGCAGTTATGAAAAGGAGGATATGCTGTTTAAACTAAAAATGCCTATAAATTATAAGAGTAAAAACAACCCAAACCACACTGAAGCAATTAAGGGAACTAGGCAAGATAAGGGCCTGAAGACGTCCACAGATATCGGAACACACACTGGGAAGGACGCCAAACTCAGAGAGGAACAACAGACTAGAGAGATTTCCATGCTTTGTTTCCAGCACTGGCCCATACGCATGTCCATCCTTTTAACCAGTTCTCACAGCTGCAGCCCATGAAGAGGATCAAAGGCCCTTTCCTCCCCCATAGACCATGCCATTCAGGTCTCTCCCTTATCCTCTCCTCCCTGCGTGCCCTAGGATGGAGAGGGGATGGGCCTGGGTCTTCCTCTGGCTGCCCAGCCGGCCTCTGCCCTTCCCCAGCCTCCTCCCCAACCTCCGGAGCCACACTTCCACTCCCTGTTGGCTGTTCCTCCTCTCCCTCGGAGTCAATCTCCAACAGGCACTGAAAAAAGTGGCTTATGCCCTGTTTTTCACTCATCTGACCATTGCGGCATTTTATCAGATTTCAGATGCATGGCAACTGACTCATATTTATGACGGTTAAGAGTGTCCCGGGGTGATGGGATCATCATTTGTGTGACCTTCTGACAAGCTAAGTCAATAGGGAAGAGGTTAAGCTATCAACCGTGTTACTAATTTCACAGCTGCAGCGATTCACTTAAAGCAGTGTGGCAAGAAAAGTCGTAAAATGGGAAGAAATTCGGTTAACAACTGTCTCACTTAGCAACAGACATTTTGGGCTCCACTGTGGTCGTACATCAAGGGCTACCTGCTTGAAATCTGCCTGCTAAGCTCAAAAGGCTAGGCCAGCTCTGTGATTGGGCTTAGTAAATCCAATGTCGAAATGACACAATAGGACTTCCCACATATGGGTTGCAAAAACCCAGCTGCTAACTAGATGGCAGCACAGAAGTAGATTTTAAAGTATAGCATTGCTGCCATCTAGTGGCCAGATACTTTTCTCAAGCGATCCAAGCTGCCTCTCACAGCTATGCAGGTAAACCCAGAGCCACAAGCTCATTGCAGTTTTCAACTCAGTTTGTCCTTAGTTGTTTAGTTATAGCAACAAAACTGTGCAAGAGAAGATCCTCATTAATCACTCAGCTTGCATCCGCTTTCCATTTTGGATCAATTAGTGCAAAGGCTGAGATTCATCAGAAGGCTCCAAGTTCTTGTTTTTATACTGCGATCAGTAAAATTTGAGTGACATTTCACTGGCTCTTCTGCATAAATTCCCAGTTTTATTTAGTTTATCCTTCAGCTCTGCTACCCCAGCATTTCTGACTGGGAATGAGTAGTACTCTAGTAGAGTAGAGTAGAGTAGTACTCTAGTAGAGTAGAGTAGAGTAGAGTAGAGTAGAGTAGAGTAGAGTAGAGTAG